CATTCCTGCAAGTCACTCTACTAAATGAAGGACAATGCATTCAGACAACCTGTGACATTCCAAATTACAAAAAAGAACATCGAGGTTTTCCCTCAACCTAGGTGGTGAACTTCTCAGGCAGGTTCCACAATTTACTGTGGCCCCCTCGTGGTCACAGCCAGAGAGTTGACACCACTCCCTTTTCTCTGGAGGCTTCAGACTTCCTTGCCTTGTCAGGAATGTTTGCAACATCAGTCACTAGAAAATAAATAAATCAGGAGCAGATGCCAAGAGAGGATAACCATTCTTCCATCAAAGGTCCTTGTTCTGGCAGCCAGCCCCTCTGATGGCTCCTGTCTGGAATGACACAAACAGCACAGGCTGCCAGGTGGGACATCATCCTTATTCTGCTTTTAGAGTTGTGGAAACAAAACATGGAATTCTGCACCTCCACCTCACAGTGCAAAAAGACAGCAGACACTTTGGTGTTCTCCAAGGTGAGGCTTCAGCACAGGACCTGCACAGGGTATGAGCACAAGGAGAACACACTCTTTGGGAATTAAAAATTGGAAGCCTCTGAAAAGCAGGGTCTGTGGTGTCCAGGTCAGTGTTTGTGACAAAAGGAAGGTGTGAAGGGGAGGAGACAGCACAGGTCATGTACAGAAATACACGAATGCAGATTCACCTTCTACTACCTAAAAAAGCCTCCAAAAGGCATAATCACCTGGTGCTCTCTCCCTAATAGCTTCTCCTTTGATCTGAAGGTGGCCAGTGTGCATCCCCCATAGGGCAGAGCTGTATGAACCCATTTAATACAGAATCCTGGACAAGAAGGAGGAATGTCTAGGCCCAGCCCCATACCTTTTATAGGGAATCCAACATTCTCCTCATCAGAATCACTGTCCAGCTCAAAGAGTTCCTTGAATTCCTTCTTGTCTTCTTCCTTCCTTTCATCTTGCTTCTTACGTTTAATTTCTGGGAAGTTCAGATCTTCAAGCTGAAAAAAACCAAAATAAACAGTAAGAACAACCTTAATTTGTACTTTCAAACATAAAATGCTGAGCTTAAACACAGGAACTTGGCTTTGCCCAGTATGTACAAGCCACACTGGCAAGAACAGTCAGGTCTGCCAACCAGGGGAGCAAGAGACTTGTGAGTCAGTTACACAGGTGAATGACACAGGCAAAGCACCACTGCTCTATTGATCTTTACCTAATAAACTGCTTTTGCTAATGGGCTGTCTACTGCTGGTACCTTAGCATGGCTGAAAATGCAAAAGGTCCACACAAGCTGGCTATCCTAGGTCACTGGACTGAAAGCCACACAGGGCCTGAGGGCATGGGCAGCCAAGCACAGTCAGACTTTGCTGGTCACCTCTGAAGGAGCAGATTTCCAGCCAGGCCAGAGCTGTGACAGTGACAGCAGAGACACTGCCTCTGTGGCTGTGGATTTCAGCACAGTTCAAGGTGCTGAGGATGCTGAAGGTCTCTCTGAGCCACGACTTCCCCAGTTGCCAGCCCTTCTGGAGATCAATGGGCCAAGAGCCTTGCTGCTGCAGATAGCCAATATCAATGCCATTAAGTACTTGCAATTGACACCACCTCACTGCTCTTTACACCTCTCCGGAGGGGGATTAGGGGGGGGATTTACTTGCAAGGGCTCAGGCCAGCAGGGCAAAGATAATCAGAATGCAAATTAAATCCCAAGTGCTCCCTGAACATCAGCTGCCTGCTGCCTGTGCCTGGCTGCACAGCTCCTGGGAAGCACTCAGGCATTAGCACACATTAGCTTGCTTGGAAACATTCACCCTGCTACTAGAAACTCATTTGCTCTCTCCCACCCTTCAGACCACCCCTCAGCACAGTCCCCTCTGGCCACATCCAAACCAACCCTCCCACCAGCTTCCCCCAGTGGGAAGAGCAGCAAAGTTCAGGCAGAAGCAGCTCTGAGCAGAGAGGCAAAAAGAGGGAACAGGGATGGGGGGAGAGACGAGACACAGAGACATGCGTTTGCTCCTGCAGCCAATTCCAGCAATTTCTCCCAGCCTGTTCCATGGTTATGGTCCCCAGCTGGGCAATATTGATTCTGGGAGCTGAGCAATTACAAGCAATAACCTGCAGCACCAGGATGGAAAGTCAGAAGCTGGCCAGAGAAGGGGAGAGGGGAGCAAATCACCAACCACTGTTAGCAGGATCCTAACATGAAATCATCTTCCCACCTGCCCTTTGCCTCTCCTGCTACCAGCCCTGAAGGGCTGTCTCTGTGCTGGGAAGGTGCTGGAAGAGACTGGCTTTCCAAAGACCATGTTCTCATGCCAGAGTTGGGAAGGAAAATGCAACAAGAGCAGCAGAGTAACTGCCAGGGGCCACCCTCAGCTGATTAATGCCATGCTGTGACTGTCCTCTTCCCTAGGGGGGCTGTGCTCCACCGTGGGGCAAGGCAGCTGCTGTGGTGACAATATTTTCCTTACCCCTACCAGTTCTGGTGGACAAGATAAGCTCATGCTTCACTCCTCTCATCTGTTCTGGCATTTATGGAGAGCGGAAAGGCAGAGGGAGATGCTCCACAAATATTGATTCAATGAGAGGCTCCAGAAATAAAACAGCGAGGTCTCAAGGGTAAAATGTATCAGTGATCTATTGCTGGAGTGACCAGTAAATGAAATGCAAAAATCATCCAAGGTCCTCACATATCCTAAGGATGGGATATTTCCATGGAACACATAATTCCATAGGTTTGGAGTGGCAATGGAGCTGTGTATGAGTAAAATGCCTCATGTGTATGATGTGGATCAGTCTCCTCCAGTTCTCCAAACTTCTCCCATTCTCCAGACTTTCCCAATTCAAGGCAGCAAAAGACTAAAACTTAGATTAACATGGCGAAAAATTTCCCCAGTATCCTGTGCAGGGATGCACAGCAGGGAGCTGATAGTTGGGACTTCTTTATGTTTTCATACTGCCTAGGAAAAAGTCCTCATTCCCAGAGGAAGACCAGAGTTTTGGGTGACATCAACACTGGCTGAGCCCAAAGTGAGCATATTAAAAGGGACTTAGTGTTGAATCATGCTGAGTTGTGCTACCACCAACTTGTTAAGACTCCACAGGAGGGCCTTCAAGATGAGCACCTCAAAATAAAGGCCCCAGAAAACCCCAGTAGCTGAGGACTGATCACAAAACACAGGAATGAGACTGGTCCTGAGCCCCAGCTCACAGTGACAGCCTGTGTTCATCACACAGCAGCAGTAATTAGGTAATTTGGGGGCCAGTCTTTTAATCCCCAGCTAGAGGGTTACAATCTACTGTGTCTCACGAAGCAGATTAGTCTCCATCCCATTAAAAACCATTGGGAAAAGCAAATGGAATGGGCAGAGGGGGTCAGTGCTGTTATCCAAGGCAAGCTGCAGCTCCCAGCAGCTGAGAGCTGGGCTGATTTCTTCTGTTACTATTTTTTCCCCCCAATGGCTGCTAATGGGACATAGATTTTCCCAGCTCTAATGGGCCTCATGGTGTTCACTCTCCTGCTGGGGCTCACAATGCTGGATCATTAAGCTTGCAGTCCCCACCGAGAGAGACAACAGCCCCATTCACCAAGGAAAGATGTCAGGCAGCCACAGGCCTCTCAGAGAGCCCCAAACTCTGTCTCTCTCTGCAGTTTATCTGTTCAGCCCACTTTCTCCAAGGAAAGTAAGTCTCTACCTCATCAACACTTCTGACTTCCTCTGGTTTGAGAATTCACCCTCTTGGGCCTTGCAAGACCCCCTCAAGCTCTCCACCTCAGCTGCTTCTGGACACCCCAAGGAGCTCCAGCTCCTCTCTGACCTTTAACATGTCTTGTCTGCACTGAGGCTTGCTCTCCTCTCCCCTTGCAATAGCTGCTGCAGTACCAGGAAAGTGTGAGATCACACCAGCAGTTTTGGGCAAGAGTTTAGCCCCATCTCACAGCCATCACTTCTTGCTCTTTTCTTATCTCCCCCCACCACATTTTGTCTCTGCAAAAGCCACACTCTCCTGCTGGGTTTGCACAGAGAACAACTATGCTTTTTGTTCCCTCTGCATGGCTTCCCCAGGGGAACTGCAGCCTCCTGTCCTTAGCTCAGGCTGGTATACAATACTGAGCATTTCTAGGATCTCCCAGGTCTTCTAGCACGCTCAGGGACTTGGCTCAGAGCCAATCATCCTCCTGTCCCATTGATTATTTTAATTGTTCCCTACCATACGCTGGAGACACCAATTATATCTATTTCCTGCTCCCTGGCCAAGAGCCCAGCTCAGCCACTTTCATTGCATTAGCATCCAGACAGCTTTCCTTCAGCCTCCTAATGCAGCTCCCACCCCCTCCTCCTGCAGCACTGCCATGAGGAGTGGCCAAGGAGCCTTTCCTTGGGCAGGAGATGTGGGAAACAGCAGCCTGAGCTCTTCTGTCCAGAGAGCACCTCACAACCAGCCACCCCCACTGGGCTGAAATGAGACAATGCAACCCAGAACTCATCTCTGATACCCCTTTTGCTAAGAAGGAGGTACCTTCACCTCTTTTCTTGCCAAGGCAGGTTTTAGCATGGCAACTTAGTCTCATTCTGCAAAAAGAGCTAAAGGCCTAGATGAGCTCAACTCAACCTGTTTTACCTTTAAGAGAGCCACACAACTTGCAAGAAATGATGCCAACTGCCTAAAGCAACAGGCAGAGGACATAGGTGTTGCTCCTAGAGATCCCAGCAAGACAAATCTTCTGCAGGGAGCTGAAGATACCAGCCAGGCTTTTGCTCCTCCCAGAAATGCACAGCTCAAAGCCAGTGCCAGCCCTCACCAGTGGAGCTCTCCTGCTGCCAGGACACTGCTCTGTCTCCCCATGGCACAGAGAATGGACAATAACTCAGGCATTTCATTCTTACTCTTTCTTTGCCACTGATTTCCAGCTGTATCTCCTTCTCTCTCAGCTTCTTCCACTGAGCATAATACTTGGTCAGAGGTGTCCCCTCCTCTTTGAGCTGCTTCTCCCATTGTTCCTGTGGAGAGAAAAGGTGCAAATTTCAGAAAAGTTTTCAAAGCAGTTTTCCACAACAACTTTGGCAAAGGCAAGGAGTCAAGAGCAGAGGCTAAGATTCTTTCCCAAACCACCTTCTCCCAGCTCCTGGGAGAAAACTGGCAACCATGGCTATGAATTGCAAGCAGGACTAAGTGTGATTTCAGGCAAAATCATTTAAGCAACTACTGAGTGAGGAGTGGTGGGACTGACAGCTCTCCTTAGAAAAGGCAATGCCTGGGCACTGCAAGATCCAAGAAAGCCCAAAGATGAGATGGACAGGTTGGCCAATGCCAGAGATGGTGCAGCCTGCTGTAGTGAAACAGACATTACTTAACTGAAACCTGAAGGTAGGAATCAAAGGGGGCAGATCAGAGGATTTATCAGAACAAAATCTGTCCCTTTCTCCTTCAATGGAGTAATTTGATCACCTGCACAGTTCTTGGTTTTTTTTTAATTCAGATAAATCTCCTGCAAGCATTTACAAGACCTACACACCCAAGATATCTGATTGCCTTTCTCCCCCTGTTCTACAGACAAGTGTTTGTTTTTGAAACAAACATTCCCCTGCAGGGTCTTGGCCTCATCCCAACCTTGAGAGAGCAGAGCATGAAGAAGTGCCAAGCCTGTTTCCTCTGTCCAAGGAAGAACATGGAGGTGGAAACACCATAAATGGTGGGAAGCAAATTAAGATGGTTAAAAATTAATTTACTCTTCAATCTTTTGGCACGTTCATGCTGAAAAGGGTGTGGGGGGGTGTCACACTAAAATACATTATTTTTAACTTTAAGCATCCCTTTAACTTAAAATCCACTCAGAACTGTCCCTGTTTACTGGATTACCACACTGCCCAGAGGCTTTGCCTGCAGTAAATCTAATGTAAGCAGAAAGATATGACATAGAAGTAGGAACTGAAACAGGCTAATGAGGAAGGGAATAAGGAACAGGAGTAAAGGTTAGTACAGATGCACCTAAAGGTCAACACAGATCCAAAAAAAGAGTATCCTGAATCCAGGACTGAGAACAAATCCAGAGCTCTGCACAGGCAGCTGTATGAACTTGATGCTCCTGTCTGAGTGCAGGAACAAAAGGTCAGACCACCTTCATGGCAGAAAACACAGCAGCAGCTTAAATATCCTCCATCAGATGCCAAATCAATTGCTTCTAGGGAGCTGAGCCCCAAAACTAGGGAGCTATGGTGTGTTGGCTGCAGCCTGTGAGCCAAGGTGCAGGGAAAAGTGTGTCTGAAGAGCAACAGATGAAAAAGAACGCAGAAAGAGCAGGTCTCCTGTGGGTATCAGCACAGAGCTCTCAGCTTACACAACTATGCAAGCACTCTGGATCTTGTGAATCCATCTCTGCCAGCTCTTGGTTTGGCCCGTCACTGGGAGGGAAGTGGAGATGATCTGTGGTCTCTGCAGCTGGCATCAGGAGATGAACTTTGGCAATTAAACGGTGACCAGATTGTGTCACCTGTGCTCCAGCGGCACAAAATCTCCATGAGCATCCTCCTACTGTCACTGCCCATACTGCATCAAGCCAAGCAGGCTCTCTCTGGTAATCATAAGTCCCAGACTCACAGCCCCCATGGGTCTGCCTGTACCACGGCCCCTGGTCTGCAGGGTTTGGAGCCTGTGTCTGCTGATCAGCAGTGCTGGGAGGGGAGCAGGAGCAGACACGGCTGGCAGGCAGAGACGCCAGGGAGGAGACAGCACAGCCTCCCTGCCCCTGCCCCACCACCACAGCAAGGGGATACCAAGTCACCCCATCTATAGATCAGGCTCCTATTAGGCTGCCAGCTGTAATCAGGCCATTTCCTGATGCTGCTTGGTATGGGCAGCTTCTGGGAAAGGCTTCTTACAGAGAGCAAAAGTCTTTGTTCTGTCTGATACAGGTCTTTTGGTTTTACTCAAATCCAGATATAAAGACCACTAGAACACTCCCATCTTTCTAGTCAGAACACCTCAATGGGAATTCTGACAGAGCAGATGCCATCACACCCACTTTAACCAACTGAAACTCTCCTGTTACTGCTTTTGCATCCCTGTCCTGTAAGGCACCCCAGTGCTAGCACCTCTCTGGAACATGGAACAAAGATCATCACCCATCTTCCAGAAAAACCTTCCATCTCAAATATTAACCTGCTTCTTAAACAAAAATAAAAAAGTTCTCCATCTTCAAATAGCATGGAAGAAGTCAGGCTGAATTTATCTGGTGTTTCTATCCCTCCATACCACAGCTCCTGGGATGTGAGGAGGGATCCCTCATTAAACATTGCACCTCCACGCTCCCCCCACAGCATGAAGTTCAATTTCCAGGCTGTTTCTTCTTTAAAATGATATAATATAGATCCTCTGGTAAAACCCACCTTTCTAAAGCATGCCTGCTGCTCTGTAATTCCCCCCATGGAATTGCATGGCACTTCAGCATGTTGCATGGAAGAATGAGCTCAGGATTTGGGCTCTGCTCCCTGGACTGGAGCAGCACAAATGCATGCGTGTGAAAACCAGAGAGCATTTGCTTCCAATTGCTTTTGCTGGCAAGGGGAACATGCAAATACCTCCCCCCCCGCCTTCTTCTTCCCTTTTCTGGCAGTGTTTGCTTATGGGAGGTGCCAGTGTCCCACATATCTTGGAGTCAGCCTGGTAAACTCAACCCAGACTTTGAGGGACACTCCAAATCGTTCTGGGAAGCCCAGTCTCTGTGGGAGCTTTGACCCTTGTTGGGAATCGACACCATCTGCTTGCAAAGGCACAGGGGGGAAATGAAGGGGGACCTGGGCCCAAAACCTGCTCTCTGGGCACAAAAGATGAGCCACTGTGGGTCTTCCACCCCACAGAAATATCAAGGGGGCTGTACCCTCTGCTCCCAGGAGCATTGGTGTTCCATTATCCAAAGGAAGAGAAAGGCTCCCTTCTCCCAGCACAGTACAAAAATACAGACTGCACAGGCAGTCCAGGCATCCTCCCTGAGCAGCACTTCACACTGTGGGTCTGTCCTGCAAAATGGCAGAAGAGCTATCTCCAAATAGGCTTGGCAAACTGGAGCCTGCTTCCCTCCTGTCCTCCAGGCAGGCTGCCTGCTGCTGCCCCTCCAGAGCCAACCCGGCCTGGTTCATGCTGCTCAGTCACCCAGATGTCCTTGGGAAAGCAGGTGCACCAATGCCAACTAGGAGACACACAGACAGCAAGATGTTAACACCATCATTTAGCTCCTACACAAGGGACTGCAGCCAGAGTTGCTGGGAAGAGCAGACAGTGGCAGAGTTGTTGGAAATCCTGTTTTATTTAGCCAACGACCTTCCCCAGCCCATCTGTCTCATGGAGAGCCCTAGAGGATGAAATCTCTGCCTCTGCAGAGTGGGTGGGTGATCACAGCATTGCCCACAAAAAATACAAACCAACAAAACCCTAACCATCTTACTCCAGATGAGAAACATTAATTCCTTTAGCAAAACAATCCAACCCAGAATAGCATTTAGAGAACCAAACAAACACTTAGTCACTTCAAACCCAGTTCCATCAACCCCTTAATCCCAAAATAGTGCTGCTGTGTCCTGCCATTGCTATGTCAGGATCTTCAAGGATATTTTTCATGCAGTTTCTGCACAAAAGTCTGCACATTAGTCTGCATTGCAACTTTTGCTCCATGCCCAGCTCCATGTCAACGGGTGGAGCTTTCAGTGATGCAGAACTCCAGACTTCCCAATGATACCATGTGGCCAGAAAGCCCACCCTGACCCATCCATTGCTATGCAGACAAGAGGCATTTCCATCCCTCTCCTGCCAGGCAAGGAAGAGTCAGACCCACTGCTTCCCCTCACAGAGGCATGCACACACACAGCTCCTCTGCTATCAGGCTTGCAGAGGTTGCTGTGCTGCATGAAAAGGAAAGATATCATGTCCAGCCCAAAGGACACCCAAACAAAGCTTCATTAAGACGCTTCCTTCCCTTTCATTTCATTTACATCAGACCTGGATTTCAGACTTCAGGACAGATCAACAGGTTGCCAAAGGATGGAGCAAAGTAAAAGAAAAGGAACAAAACTTCAAGCAGACTAAGAGAAAATAAATTTACAGAGGCAGCAGAATCCCCCCCACATCACTTTAGGCACAGACTGGCACCTACATATCAGGAACGGGATGGTGAAACCCAAGACAGTTCTCAGCAAAGGAGATGCCCAGCAAAGCAAGGCTCTTCTGTGCCTGTGTGGGTTATAAATCATAGCAGGGTGTAATTTATGGGCCATGTTTTCCATGAGGCTCTTGGCTGCAGAGTCTTGCCAGCTAAAGCATCAGAGCCCTGCCGAGCTCAGTTGTTTGTGAACATCTGCCCCACCCCACACACCCCTGTTTCCATCATCCCTCCTCCCTCTGCCACCCGCTCCAACCCAGCAGCTGGAGTCTGACTGTCTTTCCAGGAAGCCCAAATGGAAGCAGCAGACTCACCACAGACTCCCTGCTGGCCACCCCAAAGGTAGCTTTCTGACGCCTGCTGGAAATGTAGGCAGAATTCTCCTGCAGTTTCTCCAGGAGCTGCCGGATGGGCTTGCAGTAGTTGGCAATCTTGCATTCCTTCAGGAAAGATTTTAGCTGGAGGAGAAAAAGGAGAGGAAGAATTAAAGCAGTGTAATAGTTTCCACAAACAGATCCTATCAGCAAGAACACCCCAACACTCCCACCCCCAGGGACAGCACGGGGAGTCTCTTCCCTTCAGTTGATACCATACCCCAAGGTATCACCCATGTTCAACCCTGGGGGTCCTGCCACCCTGGGCTGGGAAGATGCAAAGACTCTTGGCTCCAATTCCAGTTTACTACACTGTCTGCTAACAGTTTTTACCAATTCCAAGACAAACCTCTGGAGTGTTGTTCAAATTCTGCAGGCCAAGCTCTTTGCTAGAGCCACACACATACTTATACACACACACAGACACCTAATTCAGAAAGAGAGATCCAACAATGCAAAAGCAAATGGTTAACCACAACAGAACCTTCATCTCAGCTGGGACCTGCAGATGCTATCATGATAGATAAAGGGTTTCTAGTCAGCAAATATAGTACTGCCTTCTCTACTCATGGCTTCAAATGTCCTGCCTCAAGAGACAGAGCAGGGGGAAGGAAGAAGAGGTCTCCCTACTGCCACGCCTACACAATGGCTTGATCTTACATGCCAAGTGTGTAAGTAATAAATGTTAAATTAAGAGGTGACAGTCACCCCTAGCCCCTCTCTGTCAGGACACTGCCCTCCTGCTGGGGATATTGCCACAGGATGTTTGCTACATACATGAGAATGTCCCACATTACCTAGCAGGAGGGGCCTCTCTTGTTCCTTTATCCCCAGCATATGCCCACCTGCCATCACACATCCAACTCAGAAAAATCTGAGTTAAAATTAACACCTTTGCCCCTTCCAATAAAGCAAACAGCCCATCAAACAAGCACAAAGAAATCATCAGCAAAACTATTCTTCTGCTGGTGAAGCCTGTCCTACTCTCATCTCCCCATTTTTAAATATTTATTTTTTATAGGTGCTGCATATTTATCTCCATCAAGAGATACATTTGTCACTGGATTTATCTCACTTGATCCCCACAGCTGCAGTCCCAGATCCATTTCATCCGCTACCACATACATTATCATTTTTCTTTCATTGCAGAAGTGTCACCAGAAATCCTGCCAAATCTCAGGCTCTGTCTGTGCAGTTTGGTGCTGTGTGTTTGCTCTCACAGCTGTGTGCTTCGTTTCCTCTTTCCACCCCCCTCTCTCCCACCCCTGCAATCCCTCACAGTCCCACCACTATCTATAACAGATATTAACAAAACATAATGAGATTTCAGTCCTGTGTTAAGAGGCAGGGGACAACCAAGAAGGTAAAGGAAGACAGAGCAGAGAGACAGGGACTCTACATGTGCCTTTTCCCACTCTGCCAACAACTGTATCTTTCCAGAATAAAAGCAATCAGAACATAGGTGCGTATGTGTGTGTGCATACATGTCATTAACATCTCTCCTCAGTTCCTAGCCAAGCAGCCCTGTGATTAGTGGGATGGATTCTGTCAGACTGCCAGCCTTAAACACCAATGGTTTATACCAGCAAAGACCACAGCAAAAACCCAGCTCCTCTTCCTGGAAACGATGCAGGGAACTAAAAATTATCTGAAGCAGCTGGATGTGTGTGTTCCAGGGAAGCCAAATCAAGCCCAATTCCCCACTCACAGAAAGCAGGGGAATACTCAGCTCAGGGCAGAGGGTGAGCAGCAGTAGGAGTGGCTGGAGGGGGCCACACCAGCCCCTCCTGCCCTTATGTCCAGCTGCAAGTCATGTCTAAATCATGCCACCTCCTGCCTCCACTCAGCAGTACCTACCCCTTTTCCTGCCCAGTTTTTCCCTTTAATCTCCCTCCTCTGCCCTGTGATGCCTATCAGGGATCTAGAGGAGGGGAGAAGCAGTCTCTTCCAAGCATCCAGGCACAGAGACTGTGCTCTCCTGAGCTCTTCACCAGCCCAGGGAGGCAGTGACTGCCATGGGGTCATCCCGGTGGCTGCACAGAACAGAAGCTTTTCAGATGTCTCTGTCTCCCCCACTGTCTCTCCTTTCCTTTGATCTGTCCGGGTACTTCCTGCCTTCCAGGCAAGGAGGTTTTAAAGTTCAGTTTGGAGGCAGTTCAGCTTAGCTTCTCCCCAGGCCACTGACCAGAAGATGAGGAACACAACCCTCGCCAGCTGGAACACAGCCCCTAGGACATGGCACCGGGAGAAGCGTCAGCTCATTGGGGAGGAAGAATCAGGACAGATGGATTTTTACAGTTAACTGGAACCATTCCAAGAGAAAAGTCTTCCCCCCTCCACCCCC